TTTTGTTTGAATTTTAAAAAAAAAATTGATTTTGTGGGATTTTTTCATATATATATATATTTTAAATTCTTTGGATTTTTTTTTAATTTTTTATATTTTTCTTAGATTTTTTAAATATATGTTTTTTTTTTCAAAAAATTTTACTATTTTTATTTTTTTCAGTTTTTTGAATTTTTTGTTCCATTTTTCTTGAATTTTAATTGATCATTTTTTCCTATTTCAATTTTTAAAATTTTTTAATTTTTGGAATTTTTTTAAAGTTTTTAGTTTTTTGGATTTTCCACAATTTTCAATTTATTAATTTTTCAAAAGAAATTGAATTTTTTTAATTTCTTAGATTTTTTCTTAATTTCTTCCATTTTTTCCATTTTTAAAATTTTGTTTATTTTTTTTAATGCTGACATGGTTATGATGATGTAATGATAATTAGACTTTTTGACACATATTATCATGTTAGTAACTTGAGTAACGATATTAGTCTAATGTATCAAACTAAGGAAGGAATGAAAGTTTGGATACTTAATAGTTAATTTTAATTGTGTACTATTGATTGCAATAATCCAATTGGATCAGAAAAATATATATTATGTTTAGGTGTTAACAAGCCTTTTGATTTAAATGAATACGGACAAGAGAAATTTTTACGATTATCTTGAATGGATAATAAGTTTGGTTACGATCGAATTCGAATATGAAATTGAGATTGATATTATATCAAACATAATTTGCATATATATTTTAGTAAAAAGGTGATGATGGTGGATAGAAAACTAGGAATAATTAATTTGTAAGCCAAATAAAATGGGTATCTATTCTAATTGCTTTTCAATTCTGATATATATATTCCTTTTCCTTTTATCCAAAAAAGTATTCCTTATTCCCGAATAAAAAAGGAACCATTGAAGTAGGACGTTTGATTTGAAAGTTGGTGTATGATTATTCAATAACAACAATTTGATCAATAAATGTGTACATTTATAATTTATTTTTTAAAAAAAAATTCTATCTTATATTTTATTCTTAAAAAGTTAAAGGATTACTACATATTCTTCATTATATCATATTCACAATTTTAAAATACATTATTTAGTATTTGTTATATGAATCATAAAATGTTATATGCCAATTGGGACATTACCCTAAAAATTTCATGTATTCAATAGCTCACCCACCACAATCAGCAACAGGAGGATACTATTTAAAAAAAAAAGTAAATCTTTTTACATTATTACAATACCAATTAATTACTTAAAATAAATATAATTCATGATTTATAAGGGATAAATTCCTTATATAATTGTTTTATTATAGTTAATTGATTAACAACATTATAATAAAATTAATTCATGTTTAATATAATCATAATTTTTTAAATTATGAAAATTAAATATGTGAACATTAATTAAATTTGCAAGTGTTATTTACATGTACTTAAAAAATATTTATATTTTATTGCATAACTTATCGTATATAATTATTTATGGAATAAAAAATATATTAATTTTCATATTATCAAATTTTTAATGATAACAATGTAATTATAAAAATGAATTATCATTTAAAATAAAATCTCAAAATGTGATTAAATTATTATTAATAAATATAAAATTTTTATGATACTTTATTCATATTTATTGAAACTATTTTATACAAATATTTTGTGTTTATTATTTTTTTCTTTTTCAAGAAATTTCATAAATTTAATTTATGTTGAAAAAATTTTAAAATTTTACTATTAAATCAATTTTGAAAAACTTTTAGTAATTTAATTTACATTGAAAAATATTGATTAAAATTACCTTTTTGTTAAATTAAAGAGTTACCTCGCCCATTTTATATATTTTTAATTTTCCTATTTAAGTTTTTAAATATAAAAAATGAATAATAGCAAAATAAATAGCGTCATCAAAATGGGTTAAAGAATAGAGTTTGTATTTGATGAACTATCAATAAATAAATTATATGTACTGTTTGTGAATAAGATGATATTAGTTTATTAATATGAAATTTAAAAAAATTAAATTAAGTTTGTATATTTATCTTAATAGCTAATAAAGATTTTATGTTTGGTGATTAATGAAGGGGCATAATTTAATTAATTGATAGTATATAAAATTTATATATTGATAATACTTCAATTATAAATTTGAAGCCTAATTTTGGATTGAAAAGTTGGTAAAAGAAAGGAAAAAAAATGAAATGATAAGAAAAGAAAAGAAAAATTTTTAAAGGAAAGGAAATGATATTTCATTATCTTGTTTGGATAGTTAAATGAGTAAAAGAAAGGTAAGGAATGGATTGATTATAACGTTTTTGTTCAGTTAAGTTGGGAAAGGGAAAGCGAAGGAGATATTATATTATATTGCTCTAATTATACCTTTTTAGAATAAAATATTTTTTTTATCATGTGAATAATCTTGATGTTAACTATTTTAAATAATTTTGAAAGTCAATAAAAATAATTTTAATTTAAGAAAATATTATTAATAATTAATTAATAAAAAATGCACGTTTGGAATTTTTTTTCCATTACAATATTTTTTTTTTCAAAATTAATACATAAATGAGAACATTAAAAACCTAAAGATTTATTATTAAGATAAAACTAACTATAAATTTACTTAAGTATTACCATTTTCGTACAGATGTACATATTTTGTCATGTTCTTTGAATGAAAAGAACAAAATGAAAAAAAAAAAAATTAAGACCTAAGCAAAAATTAAAAAAATAAAATAAAAATTGAAGTTATTGATAGACAGATAATTGAAGAATGAGTTCCAAAAAATTTAAAGACAGCATTAATGGTTAAGCTTATAATGATATTTTTTAAAAAATGATAAAATATACAAAGATATAAAGATCACTTTATATTTAAAAATTTTTAATCCTTCCCTTTTCTTTATGTTTATTTTAATTTAGGGTAATTAAAAATTAAAGTTTTTGAGAGAAAGGGAGAGACGTTTAACCTTTTTTTTTTTATTAAAATATAAATGATAAATAAAATAAGAAAAAAATTTTCTTATTTCTTATATCTTATATCTTTTGCTTTCCTTTCCGTTCCCTTCCCTTACCTCTCAACCTGTACTTAGGCTCGAGGATATTATTGAAGTGGGATTAGAGCCAAGTTTGATGATCCAAGGTGAACGGGCGTGGTCGAATCCAATGGATTCATGCTCATTTTGTTTTTTCTTTTGTTTTTATTTCTCTATTTGCTCACGTGCTTTCCCAGGTCCCCTCCTTCATTTTCACCGGAAAATCATAGTCCCGTTTCATTTTCCTTTTTCTTTTCGTTTCTGAGAAAAGGAAACCATTGAAATTGTCGAGAAAAAATGAATCAACTCGACAACTTGGTTTCGATAAACGGTAAATAAATCTCTCATTTTTAACGATGAATCTAATTTTTTAAAAATATTCACTTATAATATATAAAAATTATAAATAAAATTTAAAATAATATATTATTATAATTATCACAAGGATTTTTTATATCTTGATAAAAAATATAATTATATCATTATTAATATTATCAAGTACATCTTTTTTGATATTTTCGTTTGTAAAATGTTGACAGTTCATATCTATAATAATTATTCATATATTTTATCAATTTGCTGAAAAAGAAAAACGTTTAAAAATTTTTAAAATATCCAAATTTCGTTTAAAAAATTTTTGTTATTTTGTTGTTTTTAAATTACTATAAATACTTTACCATGAGAAATAGATTCGCTTTATGCTTTTGTTTTCAAGCGGAAAAATGAAATTTAATTAATTTCTTGATAAATTGAAACTATAGAACTGCAATAATTTTGTTTTTTTATTAAATTAATTTTGAATGCGACATTTCAAGATTCAACTTTTTGGATTGTCATCGGTGATTATCTTAGTCGGATGTTCGGGTTAATAGAAACGGGAAACTTCGTGGCTCTTCCTCGTGAAGCTTCGATTTCGAGTACTAATTATGTGAAACATACGGATTGGTTGTACAATTCGACTTTTCAACTTGGCAGCTTTTTCATGTGAAAGACAGCAGTTAAAGGAAGTTTTCCATCAAAAAGAAGAAATTTCTTTAATTTTCTCAGCGAGGCGTATTAATAGATCTTCTAGAGACAATTAAAGGAAGTTTCCTCTCTAATAACAACAAATTAAGTACCAAAAGAGTATTATAAGGGATATATAGGTGCAATCAGAGATAAGAAAGGCATTGTACAGAATAAAATGTTTATGATGAAACTGTCGTTTTTGCTAGTTGAATTGTTAAATAAAAAATAAAAATATTACGAAGTAATATAATAAATTGATAATATTATAGGGTTACAGTTAAGAGATAAAATAATTGTAAAAATAAAATAAAATAAAAGTTTGATAAAATTTATTCTTTTTGGATATTAATTTTTATATATTTTTATTACTATTTTTGTGATGTTAATTTTTAAATTAATTAATATTTTTTATTTCTTTTTAAAAAAATTTGCTAAATTACAATTAAACTTGTCAACAAATTAATCTATCCATAAAATCTACAAGTTAAATTCGATATGAATCAAAGTTTTAAATATAATTTTTAAAATCTAAGTTTTACCTAATTAAATTATTATTTTTATAAATAAAATATTTTTATTTAATTTATATTTTAAAATATAATTAAAAATATTAAAATAATTTAGAATATTATACAAATATAAAAACGTTCTAATTGCCTTCGGAGTTCCCAGTTCAAGGCCCATCCTTTTAATACTTGCAAACCCAAGCCAAGAGATAAAGGACTTGCTATCCGCTCTTAGGTCTTCGTTGATCACTGCTGCTTAATGAAAGGACTTCTCTTTCTCGCTTTTTAGGTTGCGGAATATAAAATAGAGTGGGCAGTTCTTCTGAACGACTCCTCTGCTATTCATAACTCCGCTCTACGATTCGGCATTCTTATATTAGGCTTTACCGGTATATTTATTGAATGGGATCAAGTCAAAGATTTCTTTTTCATTTTTAATTAGAGGAATGGGGATTTTATTTCAGCTCTTTAAATATATTTTTAAGACTAAATTCAAACAAGTCAGTTTTCTCTTTCATCATATCCGGATACACCTCGGATCTTATTACAATTATTATGATCGCATGCTAGACAAAGCCTGGGAAACTGACTAAAATAACATGCAAAAGTACCAAATAACTAATTGATTGGTGTCCAAATTGTCAAATGCGTCCACCAATTTCTCCTTCTGGACAGCAGATCAAACCTTCACTTTTGCTGGCTTCTCCACAACGACACTCTGTGACCCTGTCATCCTTGCTAATATCACAAATGACATTCCTCCGACGGCGTTATTTAAGCATCTCAGAAACACCACTGATGACTTAAATACCAAGGGAGGGACTCCCTTGGCCAACAGGAACTCAATCCCATTCAAGGTTTGGTACCTCAAATTGCTGCTGACGCCCATCTGAATAGCCCAAGTAAGGGCATTCAACAAGGTAGGAGGAGGTTTGTTGAGTGTTTCAAAGCTGCTGGGATCCATTTTCTTCCTCATTTTGATCAACCCATTTGAGATTGCAGTTCCAACAAGGCCTGCACCAAATCCAACAGCAGCAAAAACTGCCCCTTTGAAGATAAGAGTCCCAAAACGGTTCATGAAGGTGTATGCACCAGGTTCAAACATGTGACTTGGAGGACATTTTGAAAAGATAGCAGGGAGAGTTGAAGAAGAAGCTGAGGTTGTTGGTGCCAAGAGATACATGAGAGTGAAATTCAGAATGGAACTGACAATAAGAGTTGAGAAAACGAAATCAAGCTCTTTAAGACCAAAATTAGGACGAGAAGCCATGTCCCCAACAACACAAGCACTGACTCCCACCATCTGTTCCATTAAAACTTTGAACGGAAACTGCCGATCTGCTGCAACCCTGTTTCTCCATCCCCTTAGGAAAACACCCAGAATGCCAAAATCCTGCCACGAATATTTGTTTTTGGAGTTGGAATTCTCATCTCCTCTACCTCCTAAGCTACGACCAACACCATTGTTTCCACCGCCTTCTCCACCACATGAATTATGGAGTTTGGAACTGGAAATCTTCGAGAGCAGAAAGCGGATTCCTTGGTTTCGAGGGGATGCAACAACATCTGCCGATTGTGCTTTGAAACGGTGGCTCAAACTCATGTAAGCAAATTGCCTTGTCATCGAGAAACGATACTGAACCATGGTCGCCATCTGATCGCACTGAATTGATTCCTCAAACTTTACCCTACACAGAGTTAATCTAATCTTGATTGATATAATTCAGTAACTAAGAGTAGGGGCGAAACCGTATTTTTTGTTTTGGAGGGTTCGATATGAAAATAAGATGAATTGATGAAAATGTAATAAAAATTTAATATTAAATAAAGTTATAATAATAATATGATTAAATAAAAAAATTATAAATATCTTTTTACATGTAAAAGGAATTTGTTGAATATTTAAAGAACTATTAAAATCTAACTAATAAATTTTTTAAAAAATAAAGAATAAAAGCAATCATTAAAAGGTTTAGCTTTAGAAATAAAAAGTTCAATAGAATTAAATTTTTTTTATAATGATTGGATTTGTAATTTTATGTGCAAAATATATAGGTAGTTGAATTTTTTTAATTGTATTTTTTGAAAATTTCTTCTAACATTAACGTGGCTACAATGATACGATGATGATTGAGCTTTATGTCATGTCAATAACTTTACTTATAATATTAATTTGGAATATGAAAGCATATGATAGAATGAAAGTTCAATACCTAATAATGAAATTTATTTTTTAAAATATTAAATTGATAAAAAGTATATGAGTTATTTTTGTATTTAATAATAATAATAATAATAATAATAATAATAATAATAATAATAATAAAGGTAATTATATATATAACATATAAAAGGGAATTTGCTTGTGTTATTTAATTATAAAAAAAGTGATGATGTGGTATTCAATTACAACTTTTTTTATTATAATGTTATAATTATCAAATCATAATAAAAATTTATATAATGGTCTATCACTTATAAGTTTTAATTTTATATAAAATTTTGATCGACCTCACATAATTTTAAATTGTAATTAATTAATTATATTATAATTACTATAAATAATATACTCTTGTGACGATGGTAGATAGAAAACTAGGAATAATTAATTTGTAAGCCAAATAGAATAGGTATATATTCTGATTGGTTTTCAATTCTGATAGATATTCCTTTTCCTTTTATCCAAAAAAGTATTCCTTATTCCCAAATAAAAAAGTACCATTGAAGTGGAGCTTGATTGAAGTTGTGTATGATTTATTACAATAACCCAATTTGATCATAAAAATATACATTATATTTATTTTTTTTAATAACATTCTATCTTGTATTTATTCTTAAAAAGTTAAAGGATTACTACATATCTCATTATATCATATTTACAAATTTTAATACATTATTAGTTTGTTAATATGATCATAAAATGTTATATCCTATTTAAACATAAAGCTATTGCATTACTAAAAAAATGTTATAAATCAATAACTAACACAACAAACAGACACCATGGAGGGTAACTATTTTTTCAAAGAAGTAAATCACTTATAATTATTACATTATAATTAATTAATATCTTAAAATAAAATAAAATTCACATTTATAAGAGATAGATTCTTATATAAATTTTTATTATAATTAATTAATTACAAGATTATAATAAAATTGTAAGTAAAACGTTTCCAGTTCTAAGCATGCCCAATTATGAGTAGAGAAGACACCATTTGTAGATATCAATCATATAGAATCATAGATTTTTTTTTTCTTCTCTGAATGAATAGAAAGGGGATCAGCCTTTCACGGAAGTTGCTGGGTAAAACAAGTAGATGAACAATTGATGAGTCATACACTACTAATGCCTTAATATATAAAGATCTACATGTTTCCCTCGCTTCGCTGGAAATATTTTTTATATTTATAATTTTTCATTGAACTAACAATTAAAAATAATTTTAAATTAAATCATGTTAAACAGTAATTGTTTATTTACATAATTGTTTATTTATTTTGTTTTAATATATATTAATGTTAATATAATCATAATTTTTTTAATTATGAAAATTAAATATGTGAAAATTAATTGCCGTTGCAGGTGTTATTTACATGTATTTAAAAATATTTTATGTTTTATTGCATAACTTAACGTATATATTTATTTATGGAATAAAAAAATACTAATAAATTTTTTAATGATAACAATGTAATTATAAAATAAAATTATCATTTAAAATAAAATCTCAAAATGTGATTAAATTATTACTAATAAACATCAAAGCTTTTATGATATTTTACTCATATTTATTGAAACTACTTTATACAAATACTTTTTGTTTATTATTTTTTACTTTTTAAGGAAATTTCATAAATTTAATTTATGTCGAAAAATTTTAAAAATTTACTATAAATCAATTTTGAAGATTTTTTTATTAATTTAATTTACCTTGAGAAATATTGAAAAAATTACCTTTTTGTTAAATTAATGAGCTACCTTGCTCATTCTATATATTTTTCATTTCACTATTTAATTTTTTAAATATAAAAAAGAACAATAACAAATTAAATAGCATTAACAAAACGTGTTAAAGAATATTTTTTGTATTTGATATATTGTCAATATATAAATTATATACACTATCAATCAATTAATGATGTCAATTTAATAGTAAGGATTTAAAAAAAAAGTTTGTGTATTTATTTTAATGGCTAATAAAGATTTATGTTTGGTGATTAATGAAGTTCTATTATTTGATTGAACGATAGTGTAAAGAATCTATATATTGATAATGCATCAAACATAAATTTTAAGTCTATGTTTGGATTAAAATTACTAAAAGAAAGGAAAGGAAAAAAAAGAATAAGAAAGAAAAAAAATAAAAATGCACGTTTGGAATTAATTTTCTACTACAATATTTTTTTGCAAAATTAATCTATAAATGAGAAAAATTAAATATTTAAAGACTTATTATTAAGATAAAACTAACATAAATTTGTTTAAGTATTAGTATTTTCGTACAATTGTACATATTTTGTCATATTCTTTTAATTTTATTATTTCGAAATTGTGAAGTGATAACAAAATAAAAAAAAAATTTAGACCTAACCATAAATTAAAAAATATATAGAATTCAAAATTATTAATAGAAAAAAAAAATTGAGGAATGAGTTGCAAAAGATTTAAAGGTTGTAGCAATGGTTAAGCTTAAATATTATAATAATAATACTTTTTGAAAAATAATAAAATATAATAAAAATATAAAAATTATTTTATATTTAAAAAATTTTAATCCTTTCCTTTTCTTTTAGTTTATTTCAATTTAAGATAATTAAAAATTGAAACTTTTGAGAAACAAGGACAGATGCTCAACTTTCTTTCCTTTATTAAAATGTAAATGATAAATTAAATAAGAAATTTTTTTTTTTTTTATTTCTCCTTTGTTTTTCCCCTTCTTTTCCCTCACCCCTCAAGCTATACGTAGCATAAAGGATATTATTCAAGTGGGATTAGACCCGTATTTGATGATCCAAGGTGAATGGGTTTGGTCAAATCCAGAGGATTCATGCCCATTATTTTTTCTTCTTCTCTAATTGCTCACGTGCTTTCCCAGCTTCCCTCCTTCCATTTTCATCGGAAAATCACAGTCACGGTTTTCCTTTTTCTTTTCTTTTTGAGAAAATGAAACCATTGAAATTGTTGAAAAAAAAATGAATCCACTTGGTTCCGAGAAACGGTAAATAAATCTCCCCTTTTTAATGTTGATTTAAGATTTTTTTGATGGGTGTTTATTTATAATATTTGTAAAAATTATAAATAAAATTTAAAGTAATTATTATTATATTATTATAATTGTTACTACAAATTTTTATATTTTTAAAAATAATTACATGATTATTAATATTATCGACTGCATCCTTTTTAATATTACTATTTGTGAGATCATCGACATTTTATCTAAAATGTTGAAAGTTCATATCTACCATAATTATTTACGAATTTATTAATTTTATTGATGTAAAATATTAAAAAATTTTAAGATATTCTAAAGATTTTTAAAATTTTATTATTTTTAAATTTTAAGTGAAACACTCTACTGTGAGAAATTGATTCGCTTATGCTTTTAGAAATGAAATTTAATAAATTTCGTGATAGATTGAAGCTATAGAAGTGCAATGAGAAATTGATTCGCTTATGCTTTTATTTCAAATGGAGAAATGAAATTTAATTAATTTCGTGATAAATTGAAACTATAGAAGTGCAATAATTTAGTTTGTTTTCTTATTAAATTAATTTATGTGGGGCACATTTCAAGAATCAAATTTTGGAATGCCACGATTGTTGTCTTAGTTGGAAGCCTTGGTTAATTGAGAAGGGAAACTTCCTGTCCTCTTTCTCGTGAAGCTTCAATTTCGAATACGACTAATGTTTTTAAGGATGTGAAACACATGGATAAGTTGTACAATTCAATTTGTGAACTTGGCAGCCTTTTCAACTGTGAAAGACAGCAGTTGTTTTTTTTCCAATAATTTATATTGAAGATAATTATGGTTTTTGAATGAGTTAATTTACGGTTGTTGCTTGTGTTCTTTTGCAGGATTATTAGGTGGAAAAAAATCTTGTTTTTGGTTGCAGTTCGAACATTCGGGCATATGTATTATATTTATTTTATGTTAAATATGAATAAAATATAAAAATAATTACGTTAAATACGTGTTATATCAAATATCAATTTTTTTTAATTTTTACTAAATATATATAATTTTTGTTAAAATATTAACTCATTATTTTTATTTTTATTTTATTTTTATATCATATTTAAAATTATCATATTTATCATAAACTTGATAATACTCTTTATCATGCATGTTAAAATTTAATTTGTTGAAAATAATAATTCAAATTTTATAAAAAAAATTTAAAAAAATATTTAAAGGGATGGATAGGCATAAACAGGAAAAAATATACAAAATAAAATGTTTATTTTCCTTTTTAAAAATAAAGAACTTTATGGGATTCATAGAAACTTTATTTTCTCTGATTAAATAGTACATTGAAATGATTGGTTTAGATGTTTTGTTTGTTGTTGTGGAGCACTTGCTTGTAATTGTGGCAAATAATGCTTTTGCTAGAAGTATTTAATGGTTTAAAGGGTATGATAGTTTTTTACTCATTAGAGATTTTGTAAATAATTAAGAGTTTTTTAGATATTTGAGTTGACTTGACACGTTTAGTATTATATTAGTTTGG